CCGCCCACTCACAACAGACGGCAATGTGTTCAGTGGTATCCTCCAACTCCAAGTCCGTTCGAATGGAACACAACACACACACATCATAATATTGCAGCAGCAGGAGAACGGAGTGCACGACGCACTAAACGCACTTTCACTTGACTGGATTCACCTCTGACTCTGACACTGCTGCCCTGCTGCTGCTGCTACTGATGATCGGGAGTGTGTGCAGTCCTGCACACTCTGAATTCGATGCTTCGGCTGCTGCTGCTCTCTCAGCGCACTGATCCACAACCAACAGTCGCGGCTACGATCTGACTGAATGCCTGTGCCATTTGTCTACTCAATTTAAACTCACACATCGTCTTCTTCTTCCTCTTCTTCTGATTCCCCCTCTCTCGAACGCCCCCATGGCCAGAAGTGAACGTTGACCTGTCCCGCTGCCGTTCACTCACAGCACAGTGTTTGCAGTAGTGTGATACTTTATTCTTCTAAACAGGAGCGCACGTCTACCAGCGCACAGACTGTCGCCTGCAAAGCGCGCAGCTTACACTGAGAAACAGAAACACATACACAGGGAGAAATAGAAAGAGAGAGACTGACTGACAGTATCCGCGACCACAACTCACCTGCAAGACTACGCACTTTAGTCGCCATCATCACCAGCAGACAACTGCGACAACAATCAATAGCCAATAGAACTCTCTTTCTGTGCTCCAGACTGTGATCCATCACCTCCTCTGTGCTTTTCTTCACCTTTACTGCTGCTGTGTTACCCCTGTTCTTGAAGACCAGACCTAGTCCCATCTAGGCACTGTTGACGAATGTCCGCAGACTGCTGCTTACCAACTGCTTTCAGGCTCGTCTTTCACCACCACCACTACTTTCCCAGCTACCACCACCAGAAGCAGCATCAACAGCAACTCCCCAGTCAACCATGGCCTGCTCATTCGTGGACGTCCTACTGCAGCGATACGCCATCACGCAGTTCGACAACTGCCCCTTTGAAGTCTTTGTCCTCGGTGGACTTTCACCCCAAACATCAGGTATGCGCCCATTCTCTTCTCTTATACACACACATGCACATTAATTCGTCATTTCCCTTGAAAACTGTCTCCTTCAGTGAGAATGAAGAAAGATAAGGGGGATAAGAAGTGTGCCACCACTGACTGGAATTCGACAGTCTTAGGCATTGACACAGTTTTTGTGCATTGCTGGTTGGCTATTTTTGTTCACTGCACTGAATTCTTTATCGCCACATGCACTGACAGGCAGGCAGGAGAGAGTCCTTCACACTTCTGAGGAGCAGAGTTCTTCCTCTTGCCACCTCTTCGCTTCTGTCCTCCCCCAACATCTTCAGTTATAGAATTAACCTTTGGCACGCTTTTGCTCCACATCCTGCCTCCCCCATTTGCTTCTTTTCAATCCTTCCTCCTTTAGCTGAGTGCCAACTCGCGTGTGCCAGCAGCAGCTCCTTCGCATAATATTTTCGCGGGCATCACGAGGCACCACCACGAGTAGTGCGCGCTCGGTGCGATCCTGCTGCTGCCATCGCTACAGCAAATAGCAGCAAAAGAAGAGGAAACTCAAGGTTGGCAGCTTTTGTGTGCTGACTGCTGTCAGCTCTCTTCGAGTCTTCGAGGCTAATGATGAGCAGCAGCAGCAAGTGGCTGCTGCTGCTGATGCCAACTTCTTAGAACAGCAGTCACCGACATGCCAATTGCCGTCGCCGCTTACATACTCTGCTGCCAATCGTCTGTCGATTTGCTCCATTAGCAGCGGACTGGCACTTCAGAAGTATTCATCACTGTTTTCTTTCTGCTAGCCCTAGTGTTGATGTGCCCAGGAATGGATTACTACCACTGCTACCACCACCACCACCTCTGCCACCACCTGGGCGGCCATCTGTAGAGCAGTGTATGTACACAGGCTCCCAAGTGGCAATAAACCTTGACTTTCGCGACGTGCACCAGAGCCAGCCCAACTGCCAACTCATTAAGTGTTACATTGTGTTGCGTCGTCGTCGTCGTTGATCAGCGCCGTTGAGTGCGTGCACTGCGTTGTCTTGTCTCGGGCTCTCGTATGCGCCTGTGCCTGTGTATGCCTCTGTGTGTGTTAATTTCCTTGTCAGCCGTCGCCTGGACGGACTGGACGAGTTTACCTCATACACTTCAAAGGGCAGATAAGGGGGCGCTAGCCAACGAGGCGCACACATGTTCACACATGTGCACATGACTTTGATTGGATGGAACGCACACGGCAACAGGAGCACCAAGAGCACTGTGCAACGTGGTGGTTGCCATTCCAGCAGGCACTGCTGCTGGGATTAATATCGACAAGGGGCGACCCAATTTGGAGCAGTGCAGAAGGCAGCCGTCGTAATAAATGGCTGCCTATTACAGGCTCGTTAAGTGTAATGTAGTACGAAAGGGATACGCTGCTGCTGCTGTTGCTGTTGCCTAGGCTGGATCAGTCTTCTTGTCGAACATTAGCGAATAAACACATATGTGGCCGTTGGTGCTCGCCTACCGAAAATCAATCGCGCCCTCAGCCCTCACCTCTCTTCTCTGTCTGCTCTGACAGGGCGAATGTGTGAGAGAGCTGTTGTTCATTGGCGTCAGTTGAACAGTAGACAGAGAGCTCTGCCAACTTGCAACTTTTTTTTATGTAACATTACTATTCATTCAGTCAGACACACTTCCACCTTTGCTGTACTGCTGCTGCTGCTGCTGGAAGTCACTTCTTTCATTCCTGCGATCGCGTACTGCACCAGCGACAATTCCTATCGCACATCGACGTAAACTGAATGACTGACAGAGACATCGAGAGACAAACACCGACGATTAGTGCGTTTGCTAACGAGTAAGCCTGAAGTGTGAGTACAATGGAAGGAAAAAAGGGGAAAACTCTTTTACTCGCCACTATTTATCCAGTGACAACAAGTGATCGCTAGAGTGATATTTTATTTTATTTGTCTGTCGTCGCTTCTCAGGCACAGGAAAGCACTGCGGGACAATTCCGCAGTGTGTTTGCAGGCACAAGCACACGCACCGTTAGCTAGGGCAATCGATCTTTGCCTCACTCTGTTTGTCTGATTGGCCTGATCACCTCTCAGCGAAGCGACCACAGCAACAACAGTGTTCAGTCAGTCAGCATTGCCTAACTGCCTAACAAAGTCAGCTTAATGATGTCCTAATCAAAGGACAGGTCGAGGCTGTTGAGCACTGTCACTAGTTGGTTGAAAGGAGAGCCACTGTTCTCTGATCGAAAACTCGCTGACAATCACGTTCAACTTTCCCCTCTCGGCGAACCCTTTCAAGGCGATCACTCTCACTCGATTGATGGGCTGCCTTGCTTGCCTCTCAAGCTGATGCAAGTGCACTTTTCGCTGCACTTTTCACTGATGTATCCTTCCAGACCGGGCAACGGCGTTCCATCAAGTGAAGGCATCCAAAACAAACAAACAAATGTACACAGACAAACAGACAGCGAGGACTGCCAGCCAACAAAGTGTTTCAATGTAGTGGAGCGAGGATTGCCAATTGGCAATTTGCAAAACGAACAGCACCTCGATGTGCTCGTGTGATCTCCTGCTGTGCGAGATTTTTTCTCCTTTTTTCCAGCTAACGAACTACTATTACCTACTTGTGCCTTCCTTTCTATTTTATTATCCTTCTGTTTTTTTTCACAAGCCACGAGATCCGCTTGTCTGTGTGTGTGTGTCTGGCGCTGTCGGTTGTGCTGGACGATCTGGAAGACAGATAAAAGCGGTTCGCACCAACGGACCTCACCTGCGAATGGTGGCTGTGTGATATCTCATCCTGTTGATCCTTGCGACCCACTTTAAATTACAACAAGTAGTAGCCTCTGGGCAAACTACAGTCAGTGTATAAGACAAGACACTTGTGCTGCACTGTTGCTTAATGACCAGCACTTTCTTCGCGCTGTCAGCAGACAGCATCAGTCTTTGGCAATACAGCTGTACAGCAGTTTGAAAGCTATGGCTGGCAGAGGACAACGGTGCGACACTCTCTCACTTGCCGCTGGACACAAACAGTGGACAACAGCATCAGTGCATCTGATAGCTGTGCTGCCAGACAGCACTCGAAACTCGCTGTCCTCACAGCTGATTGCCAACTCGAAGCGCATTTACAACAGCAACAGCAGCAGCATCAGCGGCAACCTATCATTTAGTGGTGCTTCGATCAGACACAGCCTTGTGCAGTGGTGGCGGCGGCGCCGACGATGGCGACGGCGACAGTGGCCACTGCTGTTGCCTTCTATCTTCCGCGTATCGTTTCCCTTTCCTTCCTCTGCTGTCCCATTACAAAGCTATTTTTTGTTGTAGCTCCCTCTCTCCGAACAGCCGCACTTGTGGCGCAGTATTTCACGTATTTCCATACACTTCCACATACTTGCATTTTTCTTTTTCTTTTCCCCTACCCACCATTGGCACTTTTGGCCACCACATTCAACAAATGTCAGTTAAAGAGAAAGCAGCTACTACCATGCTGTAGAGTGTAGACTGGCCTCGTCGATCGTAGTTGTGGTGGTGTTGGCGGAGTTGGTGATTGTTATTCCCATCTGACAGTTGCAATGGTCGTCACGATGATGACAGACAGCCGAAACAGCAGCGACGGCTGTAAGGCGCCAAAGCTAATGCCCAATTGGCAAGTTGTAAATGGGAGAGAAGTAGTCTGCAAATAGGAGTCATATTAAACGGCTTTCGTGGAGGATTACCAGCGTAGGCGGCTGAGAAGTGTCTAAAGATGAGCTTTCTCCCCACTGTGCAATCCTCTATGCAAATGCAGAGCAAGGCTTTGAACTTGAAACAGCTCAGCCAGCGGTAGCATTGACACTGGTCGACAGCAATATCAACACAATGTCATCAACTACAGTGCCACTTAGGTGCTGAATTGATGCGTTATAATTGCCTTTTGTTTAAACTTTATTTTTTAAGGTATACCCACAATGACACCCACAGTTATATTGATCCCCTCTTTTTTCTTTTTCAACAGAATGCCCACTACTGCTTCCACCGGCACTGTCACTGAACCAGTGTCGTGTGAAGCACGCTGGCTCCGAGCTGAAGATTCGCGAGCTGTGCCAAGGCGTGGAGGAGCTCGATCTGGCGTCAAACAACATCATCGACATTGATGAAGTGTACAAGATCGTCCGCTCGATGCCCAATTTGCGCTTCATCAACCTCAGTGAGAATGACCTCTCCAAGTGTACCTACTCGGCGGACTCCTTCGCGAACGTCGACGCACACCGCCTGGAGAACATCAAGAGTCTGGTGCTGAACAACACGCACATCCCCTGGCCGGCAGTGCAGCTGCTGCTCAATCTGATGCCCTCCATTGTTGACCTGCACCTCAGTCTGAACAACTACGCCTCCATCGAGCTGAACCCCACGCTGAAGCGGTACCCAAACATCAAATACCTCTACCTGAGCGGCAACCCCAACTTGTGCAATTGGAAGGACGTGAAGCTGCTGCTGGAGGCCTTTCCCTCGCTGAACGGCCTGACGATGGCCGACTGCAATCTGGACTCGATTCCCGAGGACGTCATTCCCTCACTGGGCAACTTAGTCAGCATCAACATCTCCAACTGGCCCATCAAGTCCTGGGGCTGCGTCGACCGCCTGAAGGCGCTGCCCAGGTTAGCCAAACTGTGGTGCCAAGGGCTGCACGTCCTCAATCAGATTGAGTCGTGTGAGACGCGTCGGCAGCATCTGATCGCCCGGCTGCCTCAAATTAAACGCCTCAACGGCGGTGATATCACCGAGGACGAGCGGGTTTTTGCCGAGAGGGCCTTCATTCGCTACTACATCAGCAATGAGTCGCTGGATAAACCGCCTAGGTGAGTGGGATTGCTCGTTCTGAAAGTGACCATGTCCACTAACCTGTTATTTTACACAGATTCTTTGAGCTGCAGTCAGTGCACGGCCGGGTCGACCCACTGGCTGAGGTGGACCTCTCTCCGCCACGGTACGCCGACGTGCGCGTCATCTTCAATGACCTCAGTCAGGAGCAGCTGGAAAATGATGAACTCTGCTACGAGTCACTGGTCAGACGGTGCAAGAACAGCCGCCTCTTCAAGGTGGACCTCAACAAGTCGGTGCGCAACTTTAAGATGCAACTTGGGTAAGACTTTCGATTAAGAATTCTACTTGAATTAGCGTTTCTAATTGTCAATGCTCTCTTTCCCAACGACAGACCACTCTTTGACATATCACCCTCAAATAGTCGCATCTTCTACATTGACCGAGAAATGTCCGAGCTGCTCGGTGTGCTGCACATAGAAGAGCTCCGATTTGCGCAGAAGAAACTGTACACTTACAATGTTCAGGATGGTGACGAGTTCTTGATTGAGAGCAAGTGAAGTGGAGCGCAGTCAGGCATGGAAAACTGTGAAGTGCAGACACCACGTTGATATTCAATAACAAGTCGCTGCTGTGTTGTTTACGGAAGAGCAAAGACTGCCTGTTTCAGCTTGTGCACTACCACCACAAAGTCAACACACCTCTGGTTTAACGAAATGGATGGATGGATGGAGTACTCAGAGTTACAACTACTACGGACACTCCCACGCCTGCTTTAACTAGCTAAGCTATCTAAGCACTTGCCATATAGCATTTTGCAGCTGCACTGGCAATCACCACCGTCGCCGGGATATTGATTAGCAGGGCTGAAGGTGCACTAATCACTGCAATTGTACATTGGCAATTGCCATCAATCACCGCTTATTACCACCATCACACCAGCTCTACCTGAATCGAGAGCCTGCTCAAGTACGTCAGCTAAGTCGCTGTTGTTGATCTCCTGTTGCTGACAAATTGCAAACATAAGCCTGATTGACTGATGAAGATGACTGTTGCTGGCTGTCGCCCCACTGAAAACGGGTGCGCCAAAGGAAAAGATCATGAGTGCAAAAAATGACTGACAGAAACACACAAACACAGCCACTTACCGCTTACTCACCTGACGCTTCTTCACCGTCCGCCAAAATCAGCCGTCACCTAATGCCTTGCTCCCACTGTTCTTGTCTCACTTTCACTCAGCAGCCATCAAACACTTGTCCGCTCTTCTGCCGTAGATGCTGCTGCTGCTACTGCGGTCAGCCACCTGGCCACTGGCCATGCTTCTTTCTTTCAAGTCACACACTCACACATTTGCGATCTGTAAAGTATTACCCCGCAAACCGCAATGTCCTTCACTGTCTTCACAATGACCTGCCCTGTGTATTATCATCATTATCATTATTATTATTACTGTTCATCCATAGCCTTTCCTTTCTCTTTATCTTTTGTTCAGTGCGCACTTTTCCAGTGCATCCCTTCTCTCCCTTCTCTTTCTTGTGTATATCCTACCAGACTACTATATAAGCTGCAATACTTTAACTGCAACTGCAACTCACCCGGTAAACATGTTGAAACTTTTTCGGTCACTCTTGTGATGTCCAATAAACGGCTGATGCTTCGCCACTCGCCAAATACCTTACTGTTAGAAACAGTCCACTTGAACTTTAATGGGCATTCTTTTACGGTCACTGAAACGGCTCTGGAGTAGAACTTTTGCTTTATGGGCTGCTTTCGGGATGCCTGGGAAGGCACACCGAAGGAGTCATCAACCTGTGCAGCTAAGCCAGTGGTGGTGGTAGAGGTGGTGGGCAGTACGGACGATGTCAATCAGCAACGGGCAATGGTCACCAGAGACCACTCAATTGAGCCACGTCGTCGGTAGAGTAAACAGCAGACAAACAAGAGACTGTCGCTGCTACATCGGCAGCAGCAGCAGCAGCGAATTCCTGTGGGAGCTACTACTACTGCTGATGCTCAAGTGAATTTGCCTTCCAAAAGATCGAGTTACCGTCCATTTGAAATTGCTGTCGCCTTGTTGCCGCCGCCGTCATCGGTTGCCCTTTTTTACGACAGCGTTTCCGTTCAGTTTTCAATTCAGTAGTCGTAAGCGGCGGCGGCATCAGCTGCAACTCCGTTGATGCTTGACTGGTTCCTTGCTCAGAAGAAGCAATTAAAATGCCAATTCTAAAAAGTAATAGTGTGCCGCCGAAGTTGTATCAGTTTGAGTTGCGGCAACGGCAACGGCTGTCGCGGGTCGCCGGGATCGGCAAATCAAGCCGCCGGCCATTACTGTTATGTAACTCTTTTTTTGCGGGTTCTCTCCCTCACCCCACCCGCCACTTATCATGATCGTGGAGACGTGCAAATGGCACTGCCGTCGGCGGTGTTTGTTTATTCGATACCAGCACAGTTTTGAGTGCGTGTGGCCAGGTTTGTTGAAGCAGTTGTGTGCCACTGACAGGAGAAAGTGGTTTAGGTAGGCAGAGTGAGTGAGAGTGAGATAGTAGGCTACTGACTGCACTTTTGGAGTGCTCTAGAGACGACCACTCAGCACAAACCGCAATTCGGGTGCCACACAGTTTTGTCTACGCCAGTCAATGGGGCAATGGTAGTTAGACACATACACACACAGGCAGGCAGGCAAGCAGGCAAATTGGCCTGCTCCTGCATGTACGCTAATTTATTTATTATCGCCTTCTAGTTGCGGCTTGGCATTCGTGTGTTTTTGCTGGTGGTGGTGGTGGTGTATTTGGCGGTCAGGCTTCCAACAGCAGCACCAAAAACACTACCAGCTCTAGCACCAGCGATCAAATGTGTGCCAGTAGAAGCATCAGTTTGGCATGCGACTGCACGTAGAGGCCAAAGAGAGAGAGAGAGAGAGAGAGAGAAGAAAGCAGAAAAAGAGAATGTGTGCACTCTGTACATGGGCAACAGCAATGGTGGTGGTTGTTCCGTTGCCATTGCCATCTCAACATTCCGCCATTACGTGCTGGGCCGTTCGGTGGGTACTGCTTCTACTCTCAGTCTGTTCCAGAGCAGTCTGTTCGTCTGCCTGCACTGCTGCTACTGCCACTGTTCTGTGCAGATCCACGACCACCACAACCACCACCACCACGACGACAATCCACGGCGATCCAGCAGAGTAGTCTGCTGCTGGTGCTGCGGCGTCGGCGACGGCAGAAGCGAAAAGGTGCACCAGAGAGTGCAGACACTCGTGAAAGAGAGAGGGGCACTCGCGGCAACATCGCGGGCTGTTGAATTGCACAGAATAAAAATTTGTTGTGACTTTATTCTGTTTTTTCAGTCTGCTTCAGTCCACCAGCAGAAGCTAAACTTTTTTTCCGACTGTACACTGACCTGCATTGCACGACCCTACTACTACTTCCACCATTTCTACTTCTGCTGTCACTGTCACCGGTGCCACCGACCCTCATAACATTCTTTTTTTGCTGTTGTTTTTTCTGCTGAACAACTAGACGGTGTACTTTTTTGTTTTTATCTGTTCACTTCCCTCCCCTCTTCCGCTTAAAGTCCAGCAACTTTTCCCTCTTTTTCGTGCGAAACAACTGCGCCGTTTATCATTTGTCGCTGGCGTTTGTCACCTCAGTCAGGCAGCCTGATGAACGGAACAGCACCACCAACAGCGGCATCATCATCAGCAGCAACAACAGCAGCAACAGCAAAAATGACTACTGATAAGAACCAGCATTGACACGCTGAAGGGGAGCCTCCAATTTGTCAGCCATATAGCCAAGTGGAGACAAGCAGCAAAAAAGGTGAAACTCAGACAGAGTTTGCCAGGAACGAACAACAGCACAACAGCACCAGTCATCTGCATTAATCGACAGTGGCAGAGCAAGAGCACACACGAGCGAGAACACACGAATGAAGAGCTATCATCTGCACATGTGGACAGAACAAAACATGTCCTCCTCGATGTTAGCTGCTTCTACCAACACTAACACTGCTGACTGCACTGAAAGACAGGGATAAACGGCGTCTGCAAAGTGCTGCTGCTGCCCGCCTGTCAACTTCAGCTGCAGCAGTGTGAGCACTAGCCAACGAGGCACCTGTCATTCATCATATTTCACTCCATTCACTCTCTCACTTTCTGACGCCGTTTTCATTGCCATCATTTTTCCACAGAAGTGACTCCCTTCTCACTTCTATCACACTGCGGCTGTTTGCCTTCACTTACCCCTTCGTTAACTGGTACTGCACCAAGAAGCCTTCTTCTTCTTTTCCTTTTCCCCTTTAGCCTCAACAGGTGTGCCTGATTTGGTTTGTTTCTTGTCAAGTGAAGTTTGTCAAAACTAAAGCTGAATGATCATCGTGTTAAAGTGTGATTTACTCTCATTTCAAACGCACACACTCGTCAATACCAGTGAGTAGTTTTATTTTATTTTTGTTTTTTTGCTTGTTTGACATACTTTTTCCTGCTTGACACGAGACAGAGCACTCATGTCTGCTCATGTTAACACGTCTGTGATTTATCTCACTCTCGTTTTTTACGGTAAATTTGAGAATACGCACAGCCACATATTTGCACACAGCAATGTTAAATGGGCCACAAAACAGATTTGCTGAAGCAGATAGGTAGTGGTCTGAACATTAGTTAGATTGCCATTTCTATTGGTTTGGTGCGTTGAAGGGGAGAACTCAATGCTGAGGAACAAATAACAACAGAATGAAGCTTATAGTTATCTGCCTGGTCACATGGTTTCAGTGCAGGTAAAGCACTCAAAAAGCTTACTCACACAATTGCCAGCATTCAGCAGATTGCAACACGGCCACGGGGAATGACCAAAAATTACACCAGTGATACTTGAGCAGATGCACGAAAGGAAAGACACTGAAAGGTAGATGAAAACAATTACGAGAACAACATCAGCAGTGGCAGCTATTGCTGACTGTTCAATAATTAAGCTCAGCTCCGTGAGGCTCATGAAATATTTAATCTGAGACTGTTGTTCACTTGCACTAGCCCCGTACAGCTGATGAGCAGACTGCTCTTCGCCCTCTCTTTCAGTCTTTTTGTGTGCGCTCTTTGTGCTGCTCATCCTCGCTAATTCCCCTCGATCGTCGCCTTTTCCTTTGCAAAAACAACATCACCAGCATTTGCTAAATAATGTTCTCCCTTTTAAAAGTTGAAGAAACCTCCTCCTTTTCTTCTTCCGAAACACTTTCCATTCTTCTAATCGAGTTTCACTGTTGTTTCACTGACGTGCATTGGTTTCGATTTAATTCAATTTACCCCCAAAGAAAACGAACAATTTATTAGTTTGGTCCAGTTTAGCTGGGTTGAACCTTTGAAATGATTAAATCTAGTGGTCATTAGCGTCAGCACTGCCAGATTGGTAACACCGTTTGGTAGGCGCAGGATTTCCAATGCTACCCCCTAAGACAAAGTCTTGCGATTTGTTATGCTCATCGAATTCAGATTCAGAAGCACTTTTACTTTTATTGGCAATTTGAAAGAGCAAAGACTTTTGCAGCAAACACAATTAGGCAGCTGAGAAGGATGTAATTCGATTTAATAAATTGACGACATTGGCTGTCGACGATGAAGGTGATGCGTTGTTGGAACTGCTGTTGCCTGTGGTAGGCTGCTTCAGGCGTCAGGGACGGCTACACACTACTACTGCACTGACACTTTCGAGGCTCTAGCAGTGGTTATATTGCACAAATGAGCTGTTGCGACCTAAAACTTTGAGTGCGTCGCTCGGTGTGTTTCATTCACTCTGGCAAAGGAGTCCCATTAAGATTAGCGAAGCAAGTGTCTATTAGCTCAACTGTGAACACATAGACAGAGCCAGGCAGTGTGCATCTTTCTATTTTGTCGACAGTGCGACCATTAGTGGGAGAGATATAGATCTAAGTAGGGCTGAAAAGGATGCGGCGAGGTGAGAGGCTGGCAGTGGTTGATGAGTCTCTCTGTGTTTGCTTGCTTGCTTACTTGCTGAGAGTTCTGCACACACTGTGTCTACAGTTGTGTGTCAACTGATTGCTCCCCTTTGCAAAAATGGTCCAAGATTGCTGCCGCTGCTGCTGTCTAATTGAGACGTGGTTCAAGGAAACTATGTTTTTCAGTGACGAGCAATGACTGGCTCACTGTGTATCTACATTTTCTGGCTGCCAGCACTGCACCAATTGCTGCAGCAGTGAACTGACGCACCAGTGTTGGGCTTTTCTGCAAACAGAGCATCACCAGTATTCAGCATTCATCTCTTAGGTTTGCGATGGCATACACACACACTTGTTTGCAAATGCCTACACACTTTGCCGAATCTGACACATCTACTTCATTTAGTGCTGCCTGTCGTGAGCGAAATCCACTGGCAGTTCCTTTTTTTTCTGCTGCTGCTGCCTTTAGTCTGGTGAACTGCGTAGAAACATCTCACCAAGTGCCACCGACTAGTGCGTATAAAGCAAACAAAAAGCTCCCAAGCCAATAGGCCCAGAGACAGAGAAATTGAAACAGAGTGCTGCTCATTTAACTAAAATCTGTCAGCGGTTGTTCTCTATGTCACAGAAGTAGTGTCGGTGGTGGTTGTACCCGGACATCAGCTTTGCACTACCACCACCACCACTCACATGCTGTTAGTCTCTGATCGCCTTTTCGTGCACCAGGCCAAATGATATTGCCATCAGACCAAAGGATAGGAGCAGGCGGAGAAAAAAAGAGCAAACACAATCACAGTATGGGGCACATAGCCTCGACTAAAGCTTGACACATCACCCCCTCTTCTTGCAATATAACCTGCCGTATTTTCATTATTTAATAAATACCCAAAATCAGTCTAGTTTTTAGCCACACACACACTTCTTTAGCATCCTTCATTAGCCTTCGTGGTCAGCCGGAGAAGGAAGGGCAGTCAATGTGATTAGCATTTTTCATCGATTTTCAGCAGTACTGAAGTGAGGCGTAATGCAATAACACTAACGAGACTTCTCTCGTCATCGACTCAACTTTTTAGCGGCACTTTTTTTCTGCTGCTGGGGACACGAGTTGGTGACCGCCGCCAACATCGACAGCAACAGCGGCCCTGGCATTCTCATGATTGTCGCACGGCCAGCCAGAACATCAGCAGCAGCAGCAGCAGAAGCCTTTGCGATGCACTCGATTAGAGCTGTGATTGCCCAGACACTGCTGCTACTGCTTCTGATGCTGCTGCTAACTGCACGCCGTTACCGGTAAATGGAGAGTGAACTCTACAACTCTCGCCAGTTTACCATTCAGTCCTCCACCAAAGAAAAGTGGGCTCAAAAGCGATTCGAAGGAAGCGAGCGAGTGTGCAGTGCACTGCTAATGAGCTGACGACGACTACGGCGACTAGGAAAGACTACTGCCGCTCTCTTACGTTTGCTGAGCTTACAAACAACAACAAAAAGAAGAAGAGGGAGAAGAAGAAAAAAGCAACTGACGCTAGTGAAAGTGATGACCGAGCAAAGTAGAGCGATTCTTCAGGGAATTACAACACAAACACACTATACACTACTTCAAAGTTATTAATCTTCAGTACCGGTGTGATGCTACTACTGCTACCGCCCGCTTGCTTGCTGGTTCGACTTTGGCTTTTAGTTGCACTTCCACTTTTTAAAGTGGTGTTTTTCAAATACAATTATTTTTGGGATTTTGTAATCTACGACTACTGCTACTACTACCACTAGTCGTTTGGCAGTAGAAAAATGATAAAGCAAACACTATTCAATCAATATCCAATTTGCTTAATTATAAAGTAAGTAATGCTTAGTGTGCCGTTCAGCGTATCGAATCAGACAGTTTTATCAATTTGCTGCTGGCAGCTTACTGCACCCACAGGACGGCACTGTAAAGCAAATAATATTCTTTCTGTGCCATAAAAAGCGATCGAAAGAGAATGGTGCGCACAATTCAGTGCTTTTTATTGGTACAACAGCACTATTGACCAGCCAGTGCATTTGCTGCCATTGTTTAGTCAAGAAAGAGAAAGAGAAAGAATTTTGGCCAGTAAAAATGAATTCCGCTCAAAATTCAATTTAATTCACTGCGCCCTTCGGCCAAACGGCAGCGGTCATCAGATGGAGATCCGCTTCCTTCTCCTCGGATCGGACATTTTACACAAACACAAGCGCACATTTATACAAAAACACTCAGGGTGTGTTATTTAGTAGTTCACACCATTTGCACACTAAAAAGACACCGTCCGTCGAAGAGAAAAGCAAGGCGTGAGTTCAGGGGCAAGCACGTCGGCGGCAATTGACAATTTGCATTGCAGCAATTTGCTGAGTGCCACTGCCCGCACTTTGCCAGTTGCACTGTATTGTACAGTCTTTACCAGTTACTGCCGAGCAATTTAGCCTGCAAATGAGACAACCAGTGTGTGTGTGTTTGTGTTCGTCTTGAAGCAGTCTGTTTGGAGCAGCCGGTAAGTCTCTCTCTCTTCCTTTCATTGCCTAGTTGAGCCTTTCAGCGCAATGGCTTTATGGTCTCACCAGCAGTGGAGCACACTGGTAGTGGCGTCAATTGGCAGTTTCCCTGCTTTGTTTGTCACTTTCCAAACGGCAGCTAATAATTCGTCGATTGTCCCCGTTGAATTGAAACCCCCTCGCAGGGGAATTGGCTTTTGTGCAGAGTATGTCTGCCACTGTTGCTGCTGCCACTGCTGCTCAAATTTGCATCGATGGCGAAATGATCGTCACTGCGGATGTTTACATAGACCTTGGGCGCCCAAAAAGATTGCTCCAAGGAGAGAAATGCTGAGAATGCGCTGCCGAGAAAAGACGCCTGAGAGCATCGCCGTGGCCGTCGTCGTCGTCGTCGACCGGCGCCGAGTGTTGAGATGGAAAAGCAGGAACCCTGCTAACGAACACCAGCCTTTGCAAGAGTATGCCACCGCAGCTTTTTGTGGTTTCTATTCTCCTGTTCCCAATTTTTTTCATCAGTCTCATTACGCTCACACAAACTAAAAGAGAGAAGCAGCAGAGGATTGGCAAAACAATGGCAACAATTAAGCTGCTTTTGGTTGATGTTCAAGTACTGTAGCAGTTTAAACTTTTTTTGAAGTACAAAAGTAGGAAAATGGGCGAATAGAAAGTATAGGAGTGCAGGAGCAAAAAACCGGCTAAGGAGGCTAATAATAATGTAACGTCTTCTTTAGCCTTTTTTTCATTTTTTTTCTACCACAGTGGCTCTTTCCCACTCTTTCTTTGGAGTGTTCATTCTGTGCTTCCATTCTTTGTAGGCCACTTTCCACTTGGCCATTACTTTTATCTGTCAGTCTGCCGTGCGGCTGGAATGCCGTGCCAAGTATTCTGTCTCAAGCTGTGTACGCCTGTGTGTGTGTTTGTGAGTTTGTGAGTTTGTGAGCAGTGGCTGCACTTAATTGGCTACTATGCAAATGGCAGACCAGTGGTCGCTGGGTGGCCAGTCAGTATTTCAGGCTGCAGCTCATTTCTACGGCCTCTTCATCCTTTTCATTTTCACTCCTTGTCGCATGACTCTTTCTTCTTCTATTTTGAGTATTTACTTACTTTGCCACTGGTGCTGAAGAGCAGTGTTCGTGCAAATCGGTTTGCTCCATTAGGTTGCCCAGAGCTGCTGAACGGCACTTTCAGTTGCTGCTGCTGTTGCTGTTGTCGCTGTTGCATTTGCTTGTTGGCATCATCAATGGGTGTCCCTGCTTGACACAGACTGCTGCTGCTGCTGTTTCTGTTTGTCTGTCTTAGGTGGTAGTCGCTCTTGGTGGGCTGAGAGTTGGTCTGCGTGTGTGCTTATAATAAGTGTGTGTCCTGAGCTGTGCCTGGGATGCTTTTCAGTCTCTCCAATTCAATTAGTGCAATTGAAAAGTGCAGACACCCTGGCGCCCACAGTGATGAAGAGTGTCGACCCTAAGAGCGAAGTGTGGTTTCAGGGTAGTTTAGTGAAGTGCTGCTGTTTTGCTGGTGGTGGTAGTAGTGGTGACAACATGTGTGTGGGACATGATATGACCGATGGCAGCAGCTCTAGTACATTGCTATCCCAGAGGAAGAGAGCGGAGACGCTGGTGCACTTTAGAGGCAGTGTGTGTGCGCGCAGGGTGAATTGTCATTAGAGTGCCATTAAAGTTGTACACATTAGCGTCTCACTTTCTGATGACTGATCTTGGCTACTTCACATTCTCTCCTAGTTAGCAAAGAAAAAGAAGAAGAGGAAAAGGAAGAAGACGAGCCAACTCAACTCAGCTTTCGCCCACACGTCACAGCTCAAAATGAATGAGAACGGCCACGATTACGACTACCTGATCAAATTCCTCGCTTTGGGTGAGTTCCAGTACAACCTCAGTTGGAGGAGCCATCTCTCTCTCTCTCTCTCTCTCTCTCTCTCTCTCTCTCTCGCTCTCTCTCTTTCCTTCTTTGATTGAGTGTAGTCTGCTGGCACTTGACACACATTCAACTTGTATTCTTTTATTCTTTCCTCCTTCCTGCTTGCAGGCGATTCAGGAGTGGGCAAAACGAGCTTCTTCTATCAGTTCACCGATGGCACGTTCAACTCCAAGTTCATCTCTACAGTGGGAATCGATTTCCGAGAGAAGCGACTCGTAATATGCAAATTAACGTTGCTGATGTGTACTGCTCAGCTCAACTCAATTGCCTTCCTCTCTATCTATTCACAGGTCTATCGTTCCACTCACAATGGTCTCCTCGGACGAAGTCAGCGAGTGCACTTGCAGCTGTGGGACACTGCAGGCCAGGAAAGGTAACCGGAGAGGGAAGTGAGAGAGAGAACACAGACAAAGACGGTACACTGTCGGCACTCGATCAGCATCAGCAGCTGTCCGCGCTGTGTGTCTAGTGGGCCCGGAACTGTAATCAAATTTGCCGCATCCGAGTGGTTCCCCGTTTTTGTTGCACTACTTACAACGGCGGTAGCAGCCATTTCGTTTGTTGTTCTAACGCCGAGGCGAATTTAATAAGCTGCGGTGATTGTACAATTGCAGAATTGCCGCCGCCCGCGCACGCTTCGTGCTGATGACTGTTTCTCTTTCTTCTTTTATTCCTTTTCTCTCTTTCAGATTTCGCTCGCTTACTACCGCATTTTTTCGCGACGCCATGGGATTTCTCATTCTCTTTGACCTCACCAGTGAAAAGTCCTTTCTGAACATTCGTAATTGGCTGGAGCAGCTGCGCACCCACGCCTACAGTTCCAGTCCGGAGATTGTCCTGTGCGGCAACAAGGTGGACCTCTTTGATAAGCGCGTCATCTCGGAGGAGCGCGCCAGACTGGAGGCGGAGAAATACGGGTCAGTGATGCAGATGAAGAAAGGGCAATTTGCAGGAGTTTGATTTACTCACCAAACATTTTTGTTTTCACTGGACGGCAGGTTCCCGTACTTTGAGACGAGTGCAGCCACCGGTCAGAATGTGGCCAAGGCGGTGGAGACGCTGCTGGACATGGTCATGAATCGAATGCAGCAGGTGATGGACGGTGAGGGACCGATGGCACTGCACAATGGGGACACCCTCAAACTGGGCTTCGACGAGAACGATTCCGGTTCTGGTGGTGGTGCCGGGAGCGGGTACCTGTCGAGGTGTGGCTGCTAGGCAGCAGGCACAAACCACTGTGATCATCACCATCACCATAGCCACCATTATCATCATCATCATCATCATCGCCATCTCATCCTCGAACCAATCATCAGTGATCAATCAGAGCAACAAGACCTGGCCGCCCTCACTGCTGCCTTCTGCTGTCGCAGTGTCTCAGTACTTCTGGCCTTACTTTGCCATTCCATTTGAGCTGCTGTTGCTACCTCCTCCTCCTACTCTTCCTTTTTTGTTTCGTACAATCCAATTTAGGCGATCCAATTTCATCGTAAAGTCTTTCAAAGGGGGCAATTGGCGGCAGTCACTGTCAGTCACAGAGTGAAACGAGTTGCCAAATCACTGAACTGAACAAACACTAAGGCAAAGATTTGTGTAAAATGAAAATTTGTTTTGAAGCGATCAAATGATGAAGTCTCTGCACTCAACTGTCCAACACTAAGCCCTTTTCTTTTCTGTGCATACAAACAAATAAGGTTCTGATGTACAGTGTCTTTTGCATGTTCGCATTGTGCTGTACTGATGGTACTACTACATTCACACTACCTAAGTGGATCAACTATTTAAAGTGTCAAGTTTACATGCAAAAAACTTAATTAACAAAATGAAAATTGAAATGTCCAAAGTGTGATGATGTCTTTATATACATACAAAAAAAATTAAATAAAGCGCACTGGTCCAATTTTGGCGTACATGATTTTGTTTGATGAGACTAGCAAGTCGATAAGTCTAAGCGAAGTAGATGAAACGTATAGAAAATAATACCGATGTGTGAAATGCAGTGTTCGGAGACAAAATGAATATTGCAGTGGTGTACATGGAGTTGCTGTTCAGAAGTGAGGAGGATACTGCTAGACGCGAAGGATTTCAAGACAATTTTTGTAGCAGATGGCAATCCAGTCTGCCTGCGCAGAGGACCAGTGAATTTGGTTAATTTCCGCACTTGCATTATAGGCAAGAATGGGATCCTCTATGGTACGAGGCAGTCCCTGAAGGTCCCAGATCAGTGCTTGGTTGTCATCGGCTGAAAAATAAACACTGAGTTAGTTAAAAGTCACTATCGAAAAGAATGCTCAAATATTACCGCCTGTGCAAATGTGACTTTGCGAGTGAGGTGCCCAGGAGATGCCGTTGACGCAGGACTTATGGTTCTTCAGCTGAGCGCTTGGAGCGCAAGGCATTCGAATGTCGAGAACGACGACCTCATTGGAATCATTTGCAAAGGTAGCCAAGTAGTGTGAATTCTGCTTGCTCCAGGCAAGTCGCAGTAGAGGTAGGCGCTTAGGGTCCTCGTAGATGATGGTAGAGTGCTCCAAGTGACGCAAGTCGAACATGCGGACCGAGCCATCAGCGCCGACCGAGGCAAAGATGTCTTTTCCGCCGCCTGCTTCACTGAAGGCAATGTCGTACACTTCCTTGTCGTGGGCAATCAGCTGCGTCTTAACGTGGCCAGACAGGCCAGTTCGGCCGATGACCTGGCCAGTTTCAATGCCCCAGATGGTGCAGGTGGTGTCGATGCTCGAGGTGCCCAGAATGTTTGAGTCAACTTCATTCCAGTCAAAGGATGTCAGAGGGGCACAAAAGTCGCTGTTTTTGTTCTGTTTAATCAACTTAGAGTTAGTAAGAGTGTGGAAAACGTTGGCAACTATAACTTGCGTTATTTAGAAGTGATTCCATGCTGACGCCATTATCAGAAACTCGCCAAAGGCGCAGATAATCGCCGCTCGTTGCAAGAAGGTCAGGAAGGGCGCAACGTGAATCAGGAATCCACATGATCTTGGTCGTTGGATACGGATGATCAAAGGTGGTTTCCGCCGAAAACTCTGAAGTCTCTTCATTTAGAGTAACAATTTGCACCTATTCACCAATTGTAAACAAAGGGAGCATTAGAACAACCAAACCCAACTCAACTGATCTGAACAGATCAATGATCTACCTTGTTGGTGTACTCCTCAATGAAGGAGCCAAGAGCAAGGCGGAACTTTTTGTCCCGTCTGACGGACCAGTTCATGGAGTAGACTTCCCATGGCGCCTCGTACTTGTAGATCTCCTTGCGCTTCTGCGAGCCTCCAGCAGCAGCACCGCTGTTATTACCGGGGACCGCCATTCTCTTGGTGAGTAAACACCAAAATGAATCAATTCAAGTGAGATCACCGCCGATGAAGGGGAGGGAAAGGAATGCAGCACGAAGAAGGGCCACACAAGTTGAGAGAGTGCACGATCAATGAACAGAATGAGCCGAAATCCTGAACTGACAGACAGACAGACTGACACTGGCACAGACGCACAAAGGCCGCTTTCACTGCACTGTGGCACTCAATCCGGCCTGTATTCAGTGTGCATGCCTGTGGATGCTCTCTCACCACGCAAGACAGTGCACCTTGGGATACCACCACCTTTGCCCACTGTGTGCTCCATTTCCTAGTTGGCCGGCTAGGCTGCAAAGCCACCGTAGCGCTATTCGGGGCTGCTTTATTAGTCCGGTCGACAACAGGAATAGAGCACCATCGGCGCCACCACTAGCTGCACAGTGGTGCACTGCCCATCGGCAATGTTCCCCGCTGGAGTGTGTGGCCTCACTGTAGAGAGTAGTGGTGCTGGCAATCACGCTCTAACGTTGGGCCAACGTGTGCACCACCACCACCACTACTCGTTGTCGAACGGTATACGTATTCGGCGAGGATCGTAAACAACTGTGTAATCATCAATCGACCAAGTAACGTTTGCAAATGAAAGGGAGGCTTGGAGATTCCCACACGTGGAACGATTAGGGACTTTAGGGCGGAATGGAGGTAACCGGAGAATAGGTCCACTAGGATTCCGGCTAGTAAATGGAATGAGATGCCTTTTCCAAAGGAGACAGACAAACGATGGCGCACTGCTTTGATAAGACAAAGCTGTTTATTTGTAAAAATAAGTGATGTTACATTGTCTTAGTGTTGCTTCTTCCTGAAACTGCACCCGTCTCTGAGACGAGCTTTGCCTCCGGTGGGCGTGCAGAGAATGGTGCTACAGCCCTTGCATGGGATCACGGTCTGAGCATGGCTGAAAACGGTGGTGATCTTCAGACATCCTGGAATAGTTGGAAAAAGATCGGTTAGAATCGTCAAAGCTAAAGCTGTAAACGTTACAGCTGAAAGTAGAGACATACCGGGACACTTGACGTCCATGAAGTAGCTGTTTGGGTGCTGGACCAGACGCTTGAGCTTGCATCTGCGTCGCTCTTCGGCGGAACTCGGGTGAAGTAAGTCTTTAGCGAGCTGTGGGGATAAACAGAAAGACGAGGATTCAAGAATTAGTCACTGCTGCAGTACAAAGCATGAGTAGGTGAGGGAGATGTTTGTGTGGAACTTTGAAGCAAAACCACCGGCAGATATTGTGATCATGAAAACACGGCGCGCAGTTCACGCCATCACAAATGTCGCTCGGAGGCCACAATGCCCGCATCACCGGGCCACTTTGCGGTGGGAGGGAGCCCAGGAGGGCGTCAAAAGAACCAGAAACACTTACAGGCATTTTGCGGTTGTTGTCGATACGAAAGACAGCCGAGAAAAAGGCAGACTTGAAACTCTGCACAGTGCAGCGTGCAGCATCGACGTCCGGCTCGCCGTTCACAACTATCGTTTCCGCATGGCCTTTCAGAGGAGTCCACAGAGGACGAAAATGATGGTTTTAGTAGTGTGATCCCCCGACGAAAGATGGAGCAGCGATCATCAGCAGATTTAAAAAAACATTTTGGATTTGTTCAAAAAATAAACAAGCTCAAGTGATAAATGCAAATTCAAAGATTTATTAATAAAGTTGAATCAAAAACAAAATAAGAAATGATAGGTAACCAAGATTTTCTTTTCTTTTAAAAGAATTTTCTAGTTTAAACTCCATCATTCTGAATGACGTTTTATACACTGCTTGATTAATTAGTTGATTTGATACTTTTAGTTGATATCAAAGCTGGCTCAGAACATTGAAAAAAATACATTCAAAGAAAGCCTTTCTTTAGGTAAAGAACAAAATTATCCTGAGAAGCTACCTCTGACAAGTGGTACTTCCATTTTTTGCAAGGCACACTTTGTCCTTCGATCATCACCATTTCTCTTTACTTTATCACAGAGAAAAATAAGTCTGATGTTAATTAAGATTCTGGTGTTACCTGTAATCAGTAGAGTTTAGAGACCAAATTAAGCTCCGGTCTTTGCGGTCACCTCAACTCAAAGAGAAGCAAACATCGCGCGCTCTCAAGAGGAAATACTGCGCAGAGTAGACACTACGTCACTCGCCTTTGAGCAGTGCTTGCCAGCTTAGAGCTCCGCCTTACCTTAGCTTCAGCGTCCGATGACGAACCTTTGTTGTGATTGAAAAAATAAAAATAGGAAAATAGATTTCTGCTGCTGCTGCTGCTGCGGCTGCAGCTCGTTGTCAAACCTCGTTGGCACTTGGCGTCTTCGCATTTCTGACTATTGCTTCGACGTAGTGTGATTGTCTGCAAGCACCACGGCCACCACCAACGCCGTTGCCTCGCCACCGCCTTGCTGGCGGTCACATTCTGAAGATGCCAAAGAAGTCGAGGGATGAGGAAAAGTCATCACCACAACAACAACAACAACAACGACATCATTATCAACAACATCATCATCAACAACAACAGCCGATGAGCAATAACTAGCGCGAGGAATGAGCGAACCCATCAGTCAAGATGAACTCCGCCAAGCTGGGTCCAATCATCTCGCCACTCATCTATGGCAACCTGGAGAAGGCGCTCAGTGTGGTTCTACGACTGCCAGGTCTCTTCATCATCGATATCTTCTTCAGGAATCTGCTTTCCGAGCGAACAATTAAAATCTACAACTGGAACATTTTTGTGTCCAATTTCGGTAAGTCTCTTCTACAATCCTGTCCTTTTGCTGAGTGCACTCATCTAATCATCTGTCTTTTAGCCTTAGTCAATGGATTTTTGCTGTTGCTCCTGCCGTTGGCGCATCTAAAGCGCTACTATCTGCATTTTTGCTGTTGCACTTTGCTCCTTACATCACTATGTCTTTCATACGACTGGCTATATTTTGACAGTTGTCAGGAGTTTTGTTTCTTTCCCATCAAGCAGTACTTGAGTGAAGACAAAATTCGCGCCTTTACCGCCAAAGTGTCTAATCAACAGAATGTATTGCTCCATTTCCCGCTCCTCATTCTTCAAATATCATTCGACGTTGTCTCACTGTGGCTCTTGCGGGCTCCACCACGGAAGATTCTGTTTGGGTGCTTCTGCTGCACGCTTCCGTATATTGCATACTCGTTGCACCTGTCAATGTTTTGTGTGCAGGTTTGTGTGAAGCTTTCACTTGACCAAAATGACTGACTCTAACCACACTTTCTCTTACAGGTCATCAATTGCTTTTCGTACTTTGTCTTTTGCTACATCTTGACAAGCTACTCGTTCAAATATTTACCCAAACTATTTGCCGAAGTGAAGCTACTACTGCAGAGTATTATTTTCATAACACGAACTGAAGGAGTTAACTTTCTCTGTCTAAAGACGTTCAAGAAAATTTTCGTTCCGGTTCACTTTCTCCTCNTACTCGTTCAAATATTTACCCAAACTATTTGCCGAAGTGAAGCTACTACTGCAGAGTATTATTTTCATAACACGAACTGAAGGAGTCAACTTTCTCTGTCTAAAGACGTTCAAGAAAATTTTCGTTCCGGTTCACTTTCTCCTTTTTTGGACGGTCACATTTTTGACGAAACTGTACATGCAATTTGCCGCCTCAACTCGACCTGAGGGACCCAACTGGTACTACATTATCCTCAGCTCAGCTAGTGCCATTTACATCAGTCCCATTTCACTGCTCTCGACGGCCATCACCGTGACGTACCTCTCCTGCTTTGTGCTCTCCATCATCAAGCTGTACCTCTGGGGAACTGTGCCCAACCTGGGCAACATCACCCCCAGTCGCGACCACAATGGCTGGGAAGAGGGCATGACTACGCTTCTCCTCACAACAATCACCGCCATGACGGACATGAATGAGAATGCCCGAATGGCGGTTCTCATTATCATCTCCTTTGTGGTCCTCTCGTCGCTCCTTCAGTCAATGCTGGAAATCTCTGAGCCGGCCATTCTGTCGCTCAACTCTAATCAAACGAACAATCGCATTCACCACCTCAAAGTACTTCTCCTCTGTGCCTTTCTCTTCTGCTTCCCACTCTACGTGACGTACGTGCTGGCGCAAATATTCCCAGTCAACTTTTGGATCGCCGTCGTCCTCTCAACTAGTCTTCTCATATCCGCCCGCGTTCTCGATCTGGTCATTGTTCACTGTCTCTTCTGGTGGGACTCGTGCCAAAGAGAGCCGTGGGAGTATTTAGACGAGGTGGTCTACTTCTGTCGATCAGTCACGAAGATTCTCGAGTTCATCATCGCCATCAGCGTGGTCGTGGTCGGTCTCTGGGAGGCAATGTACAAGCAGACCAACCTGGTGAACAGCTCAATCCTCATTCTGCACTGCTACTTCAACGTCTGGCAGCGCATCAATGAAGGTCTGCGGAGCTTTCTCCGGCGTCGGGAGGCGAATCGGGTGGTCAACTCGCTTCGCTTTGCCGATGCTGCCGAAATTGTCAAGTGCAATGATCTCTGCTCCATTTGCTTCCTCGAGATGAGCGAGAAGAAGAGCCTCCTCGTGGTGATCACCCAATGCAATCACCTCTTTCACCGTCTTTGCATCAAAAAGTGGATGTCAATTCAGAATCGCTGCCCTCTGTGCACCTCGACGATATCAGCCACAGAGGTCCCTCCACCGGTTCCGCCTGATGCACTGCTTCCTCCTCCTCCTCCTCCTCCTCCTACCCAGTAACGACTGATCTTTCATCAACCCACTTCTGACCACTACCACCACCATCAAACAATATCATCTTACACACACACATTTGTTACAACTAACCGACTATTGCTCAGTGCCCCACCACCACAACCACCTCCTGACTCATTCATTTTTGTTATTGTTGCATCTTTGTTTTATCAAATAAAATTTTTTATTTGCCCTGATACTGTCTTTCTGTCTGTCTGTTTGTGCAGCACTTGACAACTTACAGCAGCATAAGCAGCAGCAGTGGCTCTTCCGATGGACAACGGCTGCGGCTAATCAATCGGCGGATCGGGTTACTTCTCTGTAGTGCACAGCACTGGCCAAAGTAGATGTCAGCACGAGCATGTGTGTGTGTCTGCAGAAGAGTCTCTGAGCATCGAATCCTCGACTGCAACAGCAGCAGCAGCAGTGGAAGCAGTGGTAGGTTGCAGCTAATCATCTCCACTGCTCTGACTGTCAGTTGCTGCACTTTGTTTTGGTCGTGCACTTCAGGCCTCTGCCTCACTGGCCGACTGCAAGACGGACACCTTATTCTCTCCCATTTTGAACTATTTCACCTTAACTACCACCGCAATCAATTCCGCTTCCGCTGAAGACCAGTGGAAGGTCAACTGTCAGTGCTTCTGTTGTTGCTACTGCTGTTGTTGCTGTCAGTGTCAGCATCGGATCGTGCTCTGTCACCACCACCACCACGGCGACGACGACGTCAGTGGAGTGGTATTGCATAAGCGTCAGTGAGAGTGGCAAACATTCGAGTCAATCAGTGCTATCAACTATCGTCTGGTGGTGCCTGCTGCTGCCGTACTCTCTCCCTGTCAGCAGTCTCTTCGGCCTTCTTCTCCTCCTCACTACCACCACCACCACCATCATCATCATCGCTTCCTCCCCACCATCCTTTCGTGGACATAGCAGCAGCAGCCGCCGCCACTGCTTCAGAGAAGAACGCACAGACACAGTTGTGCACTTCATTTTTGCCATTTACCAACAACAGTGGCAGCATCACCACCAGCATCAGCACCAGCACCAGCACCAGCACCAGCACCACCGACCAGTGCCCACCAGACTTGTACCTCTGCCTCCCTACATGTAATCACCACCTGTGATATCACCACCACCCACAGTAACCTCAACAATCAAAATGACTTTTGACCCCTACGACCAGAACAGGTAGGCACTCTCGACAGGCACTTTCGATTGTTTGTTTGTTTGTTTGTTGTTGTGTTGTGCTGTGCTGATCACATGGCTAATTAATTATTCTGTTTTGGTGGCTTGCCTCTCTTCCCCTTTCAGCTGGTTCTTTGGCTCGTTGTCACGAAATCAGGCAATAGAAATACTGAAGCATGAGAAAGACAAAGGCGTCTTCCTCGTGAGGAACAGCACCTCGATAGTCGGCGACTTGGTTCTCTCTGTAAAGTAAGAAAGATTTGCTGACACATAATTAGGCGGCGGTGATTTGACTAACCATTTCTCTAATTATCGATTTATCGCAGAGAGGAAAATAAGATAAGTCACTACATCATTAACAAGATTGAAGTGGAAGGCGAGTCGCGCTTCAAAATCGGAGAGAACACCTTCCACGATCTGCCCACTCTGTTGACCTTCTACAAACACCACTACCTTGATACGACGCCCCTTGTCAAAGCGGTACGCTTCAAACCACTCTAAAAGACCAATCAACTAATCTAACATTCTCAACAGGCAATTAAAAAATTGCAGTACGTCCGTGCCAGGTTCGAGTTCTTCGGAAAGGACAAAGACGACTTACCGTTCAAGAAAAATGAAATACTAGCAATCATATCAAAGGATGAAGACCAGTGGTGGACAGCTAGGAACGATAGTGGCACTATCGGCTCTATTCCTGTGCCTTATGTCGATCCGGTACGGCTAAGCTATTTACTACCTTTCTACATACTTACCATTCCTCCAACTTTTTTGCTCGGGCAGGTTGACGAAGATGAGTACCTGAATGAGAAGAACAGAGCCGCCAACAATTCGCTTGAGACAGATGGAAAGCCAGAGCAGCAGCCTCCGTCGCAGCAGCCGACACCGCCGACACTGCAAGCGGACTTCCAAACAATGGCTGATGCCTCTAGTCTTGACCACTGTCGCTCATCGCTGGGCAGTTCAAACTCCTCCGCCTCAGTCAACTCTCAGCTCTCCGGCGTGGAGACTAAATCACAAAACAGCGCAGAACCAAATGGCAAGAAAACAGTGCCTAATCTCAATCGAAAGTTACCTGCCAAAGCCGTGGTCGTCCAGCAGAGGATACCGAATGCCTACGATAAGAAAGCCTTGAGACTTGAGGTAAGCTGATTATACTGTTTTTGTGGAAATGTCCTTTAATGAGGCTTTCTTTTGGTGGTGTACAGAAAGGCGAGATCATCCTGGTGACCAGCACCAACATCAACGGCCAGTGGGAGGGGGAAGTGAACGGCAAGAAGGGCCATTTTCCCTTTAATTACATCAAGTTTCTCGAAGAGGAAATTGCTGCCGCTGAATAACATTTTGCCGATTTGCGAACGCCATTTCTCAAACGCGCGCACAAAACCTAACGTCATCATCAATGTCATGATCCTCGTCATCATCATCATCCAATCACCACAATCACCACCTGTACAACGACACTGCATTTAGGCGTGCCTGGTCGCCGCCTTAATCATCGACTTTTCCGTCTCTTCATCTCTTTGACCTCACCATCAATCTGATCGCTATTTATACACTATTCTTTTGATGCCAATTCACCCATCATTCTCATATAGACACTTATATTCTTATTGCTGTTGCTTAGCTGAGCTACATTATGTTGCGTTATGTTTATGAGATCGGAGTCGACACCAACTTCTTGCCGACTTGCCGCCAGGCATTTACCATGTGTTGAAGAAATAATAAAAAGCTACTTTCTATCTGACTAGGAGTCACCCTCCTTGAACTTGACCATAAATCAGTCAAACGTGAGTGGTGATAAGCCGCAGGCAAATGACGGGATCAAGTGAGATTAGGGTTTTTGCTGGCATGATTTGTTGTTCGCCCACTGTACTGCTCTCTGTGAACGTGGCAGCGGCAAGCCAATGGTTTCGCGCCGTTTGTGCTGAGGGCGGCGCTTGGTCGGTTTAAAAGTCTAGAAAATAACGAACTTGCCTGTCATTTAATTTCCCACGTCTGCCTGGTTTTACCCTGGTCCCTTGTCCACTTCTGGTGACTTTGATCTTGNGCGCCGTTTGTGCTGAGGGCGGCGCTTGGTCGGTTTAAAAGTCTAGAAAATAACGAACTTGCCTGTCATTTAATTTCCCACGTCTGCCTGGTTTTACCCTGGTCCCTTGTCCACTTCTGGTGGACGACTTTGATCTTTTTGTCGACACTATCATTGGGCTGCCTTCTTCAGGCCGTCGCCTCCATCACCACCCTCATCCTCAGCCATGGACAAGAACCCCAACATCGCCTCTCTGATGGAGAACATCACCATCACATCAACATCGTTCAATAATCACTCCTTGAATGCATCACACATCCGCAATGGTAAAACTCCTCTCAAGCATTCGCCAGCTCGAACTCCAGCTCGTGCCCGAGGACTGGGCGAGACCAGTCGAACCACTGCACTTGGCCGAACGCCCAAAACGCCACATGGAGCCGATCGCTTTATCCCGGATCGAAACAACATCAACTTTGAACTTAGTCACTACTTGGTATTTAGTTTGTGCTACCTTTTAAAGCATTCAGGTTTTCACAGATGTTTTTCAATTTTCAGATAAACAATGACACCACTACTGAGCCAGATAAGAAGGCCACTACCATGAGCGAGCTCGTGGGAGACTTGTCCAATTACCGTGTAGTGTCGTACAAAAACAAAGCACCGCCGCCACCAGAAGGACACATGAACAACCTCAAAGTCGTCTACACGTCTTCCGCCTTTAAGCCCTCGACCGCAAAGAAAACAAATCGTTACATTCCCAGTCAGCCTGAACGCATTTTAGATGCCCCTGATATCATAAACGACTACTACTTGCAGCTGATTGACTGGAGTTTTTCAAACATCCTCGCGGTTGCTTTGAAGAACGAAGTTTACCTGTGGAATGCCGCCACGGGAAACATTGACAATCTGTTGACTTTAGATGAAACCGAGTACATTTCATCGCTTTCATGGGCTAACGAATGCAACTTCCTCGCTGTGGGAATCAGCACTGGTCAAACTCAGCTTTGGGACATTACCCGATCAAAGTGTCTCCGAACACTGAATGTCTCTGATGAGCGAATCAGCACCATGAATTGGAACAACAAAATCGTCAGCTGTGGGTCTAAAGACGGAAACATCTACAATCACGATGTCAGCGTTGCCTCCAGTTTGCAGTCAACCTATCGCGGCCACTCACAGGAAATCTGCGGCCTCAAGTGGTCTCCCAGTGGACAGAACCTGGCAAGTGGCGGCAATGACAACACCGTCAACGTGTGGTCTAGCTCAATGAGCGAACAGGCCGATCGCGGTCAGTCCAACTCGAGCAACCCCCTGCACACCTTTACCGATCACCAGGCAGCGGTGAAGGCCCTGGCTTGGTGCCCATGGCGCCCCAACTGCCTCGCCACTGGCGGAGGTACAGCCGATCGCATGATTCGCATCTGGAACGTGCAAAACGGACAGAACATCTACTCCGTGGACACTCAATCGCAAGTATCATCCATCCTCTGGTCCAGCGAGTACAAGGAGCTCATCTCCTCACATGGATACATGAACAACGAACTGATCATCTGGAAGTATCCAACGCTGACTAAAGTCGCCGAACTCACAGGTATGTACTCTTTCATTAATTTTTACCTTCAATTTACTAAATATGGTATTTGTCCGGTAGGTCACTCTGCCAGGATTCTCGGCATGTCAATGAGCCCTGATGGAAGCACTGTGGTCTCGCTGAGCGCTGATGAAACTCTTCGATTCTGGGAGTGCTTCAAGATTGACGACAAAACGAAGAAGACCAAGGAGAAGAAAGACAGCAAGATCAACAAGGAAAATCTGACTTTGGGCTGCTCCGGCATCCGATAGTCGTCATCTTCACCAACGAGAGGCTCACCACAACATAAGCAACCCCCACACCCCTCACATCTCTACACTGCATCTTAATTGTAACACCTTCCCTTTTTATTATAATATTGATAAACAAACTATTTTTATATTAAACTATCAACATTTTTTGTGTACTAGACAGGCAGACTTGCTCTTTAGCTTACCAGTTCTCAGCTCATCCTCCACCTCCTCAGCAGCCAAAGTAGGTGACCCAGAAGAGGGCAAAGGAGCAGAGGAGGACGATGACGTGGGCGGAGTGGAGGAACATGGCCCGAACTGGGTCGTGGTGGAAGGTGGCCGTCTGCGCCTTGAAGAGCATCAGCACCAGCAGGAGGAGGGCGCTGGTGATGAGGTACAGCGGACGGACGTGGAGGGCGCTGAAGACGCCCAGGCCGGCCAGGAGGATGGCGCTCATGGCGGTGAAGTGGGCCACTGCCTTGCAGTCGCCTCGCTGGCCCGCCATCCTCTCGCAGATGTCCACGTCCTCGGTGAAGATGGTCAGCGAGGTGATGGCCATGGCGAAGTAGGCCATGATCAGCGTCCACCGAATCGCCCGGTAGTAGCCGTGCACTGTTTGGGTGGGCTGCTGTAGACTGGTCCTTAGGTGGCTGCTCCAGGAGTCTTCTTCGCTGCTCTCCCTATCTCCTGAGTTGGTCATAGTTGCGCTCACCGGGTAAAAAGAGCTGATGATAAAGGATAAGCTGCACTCTAAAACGCAGTATTTAGAGCTGGGAGCCAAGCTCTAATTTCGAACTGATTCAAAACAGTGTGATCATTTTTAATGTTTCAAAATACATTTAGGTTTTTGACCCAGTCAAAAAAGTGTAAAAGACAAGAATAAATAAGTTTTTAAAACTGGTTTGTAGGAGGTAGAGGATATTTGGGTGTAATAGTTTAAGTAATCAAAGATACGTTTCTTCAGTTGTTCCTTCAAGTCGGTTTCAAGAAGAAAGTCAACTTTCCATTGTGATCCTTTCGCTTTTCAGGATTCAGCTTCTTCAGAACATCGGTCATAATCTCTGCGAGTTTGTCTCGCTGTCCTTTGGGCATTTTGTTTCGGCACATTTTCAGCAGCTCAAAAGCAGTGTAAGGCTTGCGAAGAAGGTAGCGTCGAACGTCTCCAATTATGCTGTCAATGAGCTCGTTTTTCGTCGATTCAACCTTTTGCTTTTTATTACTGTTGTGGTGGCTGGTTGCAGGAGTATCCATTTTGTGCTTAAACTTGAGAGCACTTGAGCTGCCCTTGTTCTCGTCAGTTGATGGGGTGACGGTAAGCTTGACCGACTTGGAATCTGTGGCTGAATTTGCTTCAGCAGTGGCTTTAGGCTTCACCAACTTTCGGTTTTGAATTAGCAGTGCCGATTTAGAGACGTCAAGATCATCAGGATTATCGGAATCAAAGTCAGAGTCAGAGAGGGAATTGTTGTCTAAAAAGGGGTAAAGTAAAGCATTTAGAAACTCTTATCAGCATATTATCAAATCAAACACTCACCACCTTCCGTCTTAACCTTCTTCTCTTCTTCGTTGGGCTTGTTTTCATCAGCCTGCCCATTGTTCTCCTCCTTATTCTCCTCTTCCTCTTCATCATCGGAGACGACCAAGTCCCGCAGAGCAGACTCGTCAACAACAGCCTTTATGTCGGTCTTCTCAGTATCCGACTCTGAACTACTGGACGAATCGGACATGTAGTCCACTTCTTTATCATCATTATCGCCCTCATCGCTGTCTTCTCCTGGCTCTTTGTCGTCGTCATCGTCTGAGTCATCCTTTTTTAGTTTGTCTTTCTTTCCCTTCTTCTTTCCTTTGCCCAACTTCGGCTTTTCGTCTTCGTTATCACTGTTCTCGCTCAAGTTATCATTTTCTGAATCTGGGTCCCACTCGTCCATGTCAGTCACTTTGAATTCCTTCTTGATTGAGCGCTCTGACTTAGTTTTAGGCTCATCGGTCGATCCGTCGCCCTCCTTTTTACTCAAATGCCTCAGCTGAAAGTAGTTCAAAATCTGATCTCGCTTAATGAACTTTTCTTCAGCTTCTTCGGCAGTGAGGGCTTTGTATCTCTGAAATGGCGTAAACTTGTACCACTCATTTACGGGAAACGCTTCAAACGCGCCATCAGGAGCTTGGAAAAAGACGTAGTACGATGTGTTCTCCGTGACACCGCCTTCTCGAATGCCCTTGTACCTTGAGAAATAATTTACGTTAGCACATATAATCACAATGAATCATTACGAAAGTACTTTCTGCTTTGCTTTCCACTTCCAACTTTGAGAATCCAGGGCGAGTTGTTCTGCTTGTGCTTTCGTCTCTCGTACTTTCGTCGTTTCGCCTCTTCCCGTTCTTTTCGTCCAAATTCAGATCCGGCGCCAAATTCAGGCGGTTCCTCCTCCAGTTCTCCTTTAACGTCTTTCAGTGAAACTTCCCGCTCCATTTTGCAGTTTTTAAACTGCCCGACATCGAGCTTCAGAGCTGCGTTGAAGTGCAGTACGTTGAACTGCTTTGATGTCACACTGTCAAACCAAATGTCAATACAGGAAAAATAAACAAAAAAACTTAGTGTCTTACCGCGGAACTCGGACAACAAATTCTTGTGTCATTTTATTGTCCATTATCTAGCGTTTTAGCTGCAAATAAAAGCGGCTTAATCTGGCACCAGAGCACCAAAAGAACCAAATCTCAAGGAAGCATTAGGAGCAAGCTGAGACGATGTTCAGCTTTGTTTATCGCAAAGGAGTGATAAAAATTCCGCTCAAACGTCTCAAAAACGATTCGCCCACTCATAGAGTACGTGCGTAAACTTCGGCGGTAGAACTGCTTTTTCGATCAAAATTTTTGCAATGATGAACAGAGAGACCTTCTAGAAAGTAAAGTATGAAGCAAGCGATACATAACTGAATTTTTCCCAGTAAACGCCCTGAACGCTAATGCTCTTTGACGTGCAGATTAGTCAATCAGAAAAAAACGTCAATGGTAAGAGGATGTGCGTCACTGGCAGAAAGTGTTCTAAGGATCCAGTGGTGCTGGTAAATGTCAAGTAAGCTGTTGTCAACCACTTAGCATCTAGGACCAACTTCATTACTTTCTGTTCAACAACAAAAAGGCCACTCTAAAGATCACCCCAGTTCCCCCTTCCCTCTCTCTTTTTGAAAGGGCATCTCAATAAGATTTGTCTCACTTTAATTCGATTGGTCTCACTCGCTAGGGAGATCACACTCCACTCAAACGTGTCCGTCATAGTTTAGAGCACTTGATTGCTCAGATTCTCTGCAAAACAGTTCACTTCACCGAGCTCATCCAGTGGTTTGCATCCAGGAATGAGTACATTATGCAGGCAGAGATGAGCTGTTGCACTGTCTGCATGGGTTTTACAGCCTAATAATATTTTGAAGTGTTTTTGAAAGCTGGCGGTGTCGTTTAGACTTCCACCACCTCCCACACATATTGACCTTTCGATAGAGGAGCATCACTTTCACTAATTTGTTCATTCATATTGACAGAATCGCCTGATAATTTCCACTTAATATTTATATTAAACGCAAATTGGCCTGTCATCATGGTGGCTAAAATAAACAACTTGGACTTATTAAAAATTCAAGTTGATTCTCCTTCTTGAAGTGTGAATGAAACTGTCGCTTTCATTATAAAGCTTGAAGTGTTTTCAAGACGCATATTGAAAGCAAATTATCACTGCGATCGAAGTTTGGAGTACCAAAGTGGTATCCCCACCTAAAAAGTAAAATACTGAAGAAACTGATTACAACCACATCTATTTTTTGCTAAAAAAACAAAAACGCTCTCGGCAACAGCTAAAGTGCCCTGTTCTACTTTATCACAGGAAGGTGCTCTGTGTCCCGGACACTCTTGGCAAGTGGGCAGTCCAGTCTCTTGCAAACCAATTTACAGTCAATTAAAGTGTAACCGATTGCAAATCGAGTCGATTGGTGCACAGATTTGCTAGGAAAACGCTGTTCGATGATTAGTAATAGAGGAAACCAGATCAAGCAGCCCCAGCAGAACCCGAGCGGTGTCACCAGCAGAGGTTCGGACTTATTAGTGGCTGCTGGGCTAATCTGCGCAAATGGCAGCAGNAGGAAAACGCTGTTCGATGATTAGTAATAGAGGAAACCAGATCAAGCAGCAGTAGCAGCCCCAGCAGAGCCCGAGCGGTGTCACCAGCAGAGGTTCGGACTTATTAGTGGCTGCTGGGCTAATCTGCGCAAATGGCAGCAAATTTAATGAAATTGCTGCAGTAGGGTCTCTCGCTGCGAGCGTGTTTGTGTGCCTGTGCCTGTGTGTACCAGTTGCCAATTGGTCAGCTTTCAATAGTCGCCGTGTGGTATTTATAATTAAATCAAATGCAAGGCACAATAATTAATAGCAATGGGGCAAAGAGGGTGCCAAGTAGTGGCAGAGTTGACTGCCCGTGTGTACTTCCTTCGAGGAAGGGCACTGGCGATTGGCCTGCCTGTTCTCCCTGTCTGCTGCCTCATCAGACGACGTTTCTCGTTAATATCCTCCTGTGCCTGGCACCACTGCCAGTGTGTGGATTACCAGCAACAGCCCGCCAGCAGCCCGCTAAGCTCATACAGCTCATATAATGGACAACACAGCACAGCATCGAACATCATGCAGCAAAAAAGCAGTGGCAGCAGTGGCCGAATATTAGCTGCGACCAAGTGAAAGTGAGAGTGGAACGAAGAGGAAGAAGAAGGAAACTACTGAGGAGAACGGGCCCTGATCGTCGACATCGATAATGTTTCGATAATTGGCTGCTACCGCCACCACTGCATTTGTATTTGCTTTTCCGACTGTGTCTTTCGGTGTGTTANGTGTGTACTTCCTTCGAGGAAGGGCACTGGCGATTGGCCTGCCTGTTCTCTCTGTCTTCTGCCTCATCAGACGACGTTTCTCGTTAATATCCTCCTGTGCCTGGCACCACTGCCAGTGTGTGGATTACCAGCAACAGCCCGCCAGCAGCCCGCTAAGCTCATACAGCTCATATAATGGACAACACAGCACAGCATCGAACATCATGCAGCAAAAAAGCAGTGGCAGCAGTGGCCGAATATTAGCTGCGACCAAGTGAAAGTGAGAGTGGAACGAAGAGGAAGAAGAAGGAAACTACTGAAGAGAACGGGCCCTGATCGTCGACATCGATAATGTTTCGATAATTGGCTGCTACCGCCACCACTGCATTTGTATTTGCTTTTCCGACTGTGTCTTTCGGTGTGTTACGGGTGCTGTGTGTCCTTAGCACGTCGGGCTCCATTCAAATTCGTCCTGGGCTTTTTGTAGCAGCAGCTTTTAGCACATTTGCTCACTCCGTTTCCGTCGGCGGTCTAAGGCAGCCCGTGCATTTGCCTGTCGCGCAGCAGGAGTTATCGAGTCGAAAAAGGGAAAGGAAAGAGAGGAACTCGCTGGATGCTGTTTTGCTGAACTGCGGCCACATGGCTGCCATCACTGGTTAGTTGTTTAATCACTCCCAGCTCCTCTGTATTATGGCAACCACACTAGGCAACTTAATGTGTAATTACGCTTATTAGACAGACCTAAAGACAAAAATATGCACACATAATGCTGTTTTTTTCTCAAATTTGTTGTGTCAAGGAACGATTTGATTTGCAAACACAGAACTTTTTCCTGAAAAGTTTCATTAAAGAGGACATTACTGACAACAATTACCCATTTTAGTGAGTTGCTGGAAAACTGAAGCATCTTTGTTTCTTTAACCACTCCCCTCTTCGACCTAAAAGTCATTCTTGAGCTACCCTACCGATGACATCTGGATTATTTCAAGTGACCAGCTTTGCACAATAATTAAATTAGCAAGCTTTTCATTTCCATTCAACAAATTAGCACCAAATCGAATTGATGTCAATTTCTTTGCACAGGCAGGCTGGACAACATGCACGCAACCCTAACTTTGTTTGCTCAACTTGCTCCAAGTCAATCTGATGTTAGGCAGACTTTTTGTATCTAAAAATCCAACCTGTATTGGGCAGTAAATGATTTGACCAAGTGCTCTCAAGTAACCGTTTTCTCGGTTAGTTTAGGAACTTTTCAAGTGCTCCCCAGCAGTAAGAACAGTGGTGTCAAGTGCTCAGTAAGGACACTCAAGTGCTCAATCAATCGCGTGTCCGAGGTCAAAGTGCACTACTAGCTGCTACTAGACAGTCGATTACTTTGCGCACACTTTTCTAGTTGTTTGCAAAAATGAGAGCAGACAGTGCAAATGGCCTGGTGAGATAGAAGGAGAAAGAGGGAGAGCCAGCCTAAGAGTGAGTTGACCATTGGTTGTGTTTCCCGGTCCTCGTCATCAGAAAATGTTATCTGTCAATGTTGCATATAATAAATTACCAGCCAATAAACTTAATATGCTTTTCATTCTCCGGTTAGGCGCTGAGAATGTGTGTGTGTCTGGCAAATGCTGTTATCGTCCTGTACTCGGCAGTTGCTCCTGCTAGGTCACTGTTGGTGGCCCCCGTCTTCAAAGCTTCCACAACTGTCGCCGCCGCCGCCGTTGCTGCTGCTGTTGTCCATCGGCGGAAATGTAGAATGTCAGTGTGCCTTCTCAAACGACATATTTATTTGCGGATAAATACTGAATGGACGACAGTAGTGGAAACAGCGTAAAAGCAGTTTACTTTTCAGCAAATTCAATGATTAGGGCGGTAATTACACAAGTGGCCTATGCAAACAACTTCAGCACTGCTGCTGCTGTTGCTGCTCACAGGCTCTGTGCTGATTACTTGGCTGATTGAGCGTGGCTACTTTGACTGACTGACTGCCTGTCTCCTTTAGAGTGGGGAACCTTCCACGCACTCTTTCCTCACTCTTCATCTCATTAAAGCAAACGACTCGGGACGGAAGGTAAACAGCAAAAGGAAGAGCAAGATTAGTCGCTTTAGACTCCAAAGACCGTCACCGTCGTCGCCGTCATGTGTGTGTGTTTATGTGTACACGCGCGCAAACACGAACATTGCACCGTTTGTCAGTGCTACCGTAGTGATGGCACCAGCTCAGTGACCAGTGCAGTGAGTAATTGAATTAAGTTGCCGCTCTCTCTCTCTTTCTCGCTCTTTTTCAATTAATTGCTCGTCCAGCTTGTTTGCTGCCCACGTTACGTTGGTGCAGCTCCCTGCTCAGTTAGGCACTTTCACACCGAATGAGAAGGCAGAAAAAAAGAGTGTTNCACGTTACGCTGGTGCAGCTCCCTGCTCAGTTAGGCACTTTCACACCGAAGAAGAAGGCAGAAAAAAAGAGTGTGCGGCATCACTCATAAGCGCTCTTAATTGAATTGCAATTAACCGGACGGCAATCGATCCTGCCGGCGCCGGTGACACCAGGCAAACACCGTCGAATGAATGGCGAAAGGAAAGAGAAAGAAGAGCTTTGGGCAAACAGTTGGACCGTTTAAACGGACACTTTAAG